TCATAATATTTTGGATATTATAAAATAAAGAATGTATATATAAATTATGTAACGCAACATTAAACGAAAGTATATACGGCGCAGTGGTTGTGCACTTCTCCTTAAAATTAAGGGTTGAGTGTTTGGATCCTGGTATTGACATTAAATGTAATATTACTTTTTTAATTAGTTACAATTTATATATATATAGAGAGAGAAATCTTACATGAAAAAATAAATCATTAGAATATGACATCTTTTTTATGTTAGTTACGCAAAAAAAAAAAAAGATTAATTTTGATTTTGTTGATTATTTACAATTTAAATAGATAATATTCTTTTTTTTAAATTAATTTTTTTTAATTAAAATACACTCATAGTGTAAAAATATTTTATACAGTCAATTAATTAAAAATACTGATTTAATAAAAAAATTTAACTTTTATTATTTATCACATGGAAATTAACATTACATGGTCAATTAATTAGAATCACTGATTTGTTAAAGAAATTTTATTTTTATTATAATCACATGTAAATTAACAGATGATTTTTATGGATTATATATTAAAAATTTATAACAATTAATCTCATTTATTAAACATGTTATAATAATTATGTGACGCGGGGACGAGGAGTAGAGTAGATATTATATTTTTGTCTCTATTTTCAAAATGTCTTCCATGAGACATTGATCCCCATTCTCATTTTTGTAGGAAAATTTTTTCTGTATTTAAAGCTCTGAACAGGGCAATTTCGATGGCATATTCTGTTAAAAGATGTAAATTGACATCATTAATCATGTGACTTAAACAAATCAAAGATTTGCAGACGTGAAATTATGATACTTTTTTCTTTTTCTGAAGATAGTAATGAAGTGTTTAAGCATAAAAATTCTATTCTCATATAAATGAATGTGGTACCAAATCTACATACACAAAACAAAACTATTATTCTCATTCTGATTTCACAACAAGTGTTTTACTACCATCATCATTAGTAGTCACATTATTAGACTGTTTTCCTAAAACCATTCCTCCATATCCATATTGTTGCACAACCAATACAGAAGAACGTGAACCAGAATTATTCGACCCTAAAATATCTCCTATAACTCCAAGTTCCGAACAATCACACCATTCCAACATATCCGAAAACACTCGAGAGTTTCTACCATTTCCTTGTCCAACTATATACAAATCACAACCATACGAATCTATCTCGTTAAGTATTTTCGGAATATCTTCGCCTGAATGAACATCAATCTCTGAATATGTTATAGAATCATCATTGTTCACTGCTGTTAGTCTAAACGAATTCATGTATTCGTCGTCTAACTCCTTTTGTTTCTCGTTATCCATTACTGCTGATAATATACTTTGTGATTCAACCTGAATTGATGTGTCCACTGCCGCAGCATCATCAAACAGAAGCATTCTTACTACTGATAGATTGATTCCCGGATGACCTGCCATCCTCCATGCAACCGCGATCGCTTCGCGGTCATCCGGTCCACCAACAAAGATCAAACGAATGCAGAAGTTTAGTTTTGATATTGAACCGATATCACGATCGACGAATATTCCTACTGAACAAGGTGCACTTTGCAATACATTCATGTTTATGTCTCTATACACGACACTGGCTGTTTTGAGTGCGCCTTCTGAGCTTAACTGTTTGTGAAAAGGAATGATGATCAGGCTCGTGCATTTTTCGTTAGCTGAATTGTATATATCTTCGTGAATGGTTTCGAAAGCAGAGACTACGTTTAATGTTCGAACTCTTATAGCATCATATGATTCTCCGAATGATTCGAACGTGCTGTTAATACCTTCTTGTTCTACTTGAGATTGTGTGAGATTCTGTGCTCCTGGTTCGCCACTTGGTTTCTCCATATGGGCAGCAACAAGTGCTGCTGCGCTTCTTGTGAGTTCGACAAGATGAAGTCCGAAAACATGTAATGGTGAGAGTCTAGTGACATTGAATAATTCAATTAGGCTTAAAATCCCGGTGGCTTGTCGAGTATTGTAAACACATGCTAGAATTCTGAGTTCTGCATCATTTCTTAGCTTTTGTATGGTTTTCAACTTGTTTTGCTCAAATCTCTTTCTAGGCTTGTAAATTGCATCGATGATAGGAGACACCACTATAGTCATTAGAAGAACTGAAGATGATAGAACAACATAGCTTGGTACAGAAAGAATCTGCGATCAAACATTATAACAAATCAAACTTTAATAACTAAGGAAAATATTAGAAATGATATTTTGACATCAAATACGGTATCAGATATATAGTTTGAACTATGAGTGATAAAACTGTTCGAAACTTGGAGTGGTAAAATAGTTCGGAATTAGAGGTGGTAAAATAGGTCCGGACCGTGGGGCATTGCCCGTTCTACAATTTTTCAATTTAAAAACTACAATGCCAACGGGCCTGGCCCGCGCTCATTTTTTTTGCTGAGCGGAGCAAGATTTTAGGCCCACCCTGTTCCGTTTTTTTGCGGACTTTTGCAGGGCGGTCCTAAACGGGGCGGATAAGCCCTTTGCCACCCCTAATTTGAATCAGATATACGATGTCAAATTTTAGGTTCAAATTTTAGCAACAAACACAATATCAAATATATTGGTATGAACCAGATAAACGATGTAAACGTCTGCGTTCAAATAACATATCTCTTACAAAATATTCGGTAAATGTTATGTTTAGTGTTAGTACCGTTCGATCCCAAGCGATGTTGAGCATTATTAGTGCAATAGCGCCTTTGGTATTGAGAATCAAGCCTAGAGCGAAACTGTCACGAGTACGCATGCCAAAGAAGAAAGCTGCAAAGATAGTGCCTAGAACCTTTATAGAACACAGCAAGATTATAACAATAAATGTCAAAAACACGTTATCCTGATAGAAAAGGGTGGCAACCATGAGTCTCATTCCTGTGCCACTAAAGAACAGCGGCGCGAGAAAACCGCTACCAAAATCATCTGAGATTGACACCACTTTGTCAGCGAATTTCCCATGAGGCAAAATCAATCCATACACAAAGGCACCAACAACAGCCTGTGTACCAAGAATATCTGTTATGGATGAACAAACCAAAAGTCCCATAACCACATAAAGCAAGTTGCTATCATCCCATTCGTCTCTTTCCGTCTTGCGATCGATGACTTTAACAATGATAGGACGCACAATGAAGATGCAAATGAAAACAAATATTATTGTACTCAACACCGAGTATATTGCTCTTGTACCATCACGATTAATCGAAATTGGAACAAAGAGTGTGAATAAGACCCATGCATATGTGTCACTGACCATAGAAGCTGTTAATGCAGCTTCACCAAGACCAGTATACAGAAGCTTCAACTCAGAAAGAGAATGAGCGATAACAGGAAAACCAGTCACAGTAAGAACTAAAGTCCATAGCACATTAGCACGTACTGCATTCTCTTCAAGTTCCACCCCATCACCTTTGTTATAAGTTCTTCTGTGTAGATTATATAAAAGCGGTCCCATCACCATTGGAAAAACTATCCCGGCAATCGCAATGCTCCCGGCTTTCTTCTTAACATGTAAAACGACATTCAAGTTCATCTCCAAACCACTGAGAAATGCATAATAGATTATACCAATATGCGATAGAATTTCAACGTTAAAAACACCGGTTAACGGAAAAATGAATGTGAAAACCTCTGTGTAATTCCCAATTAATGGCGGAGTTAGTAGAAAACCAACCTACAGAATTTTTTTTCCAACATGTTAATTGTTAGACTAAGTAAATACAGAAAAAATATTATCAGAGTTTATTGTAACGCTCAAGATATTAATAGTGACTATGTAAATTTACATAACAAAAAGAATATTATTAGTTTATTGTAGCGATTAAGATACTTACGGAGAGTTGAGACAAGATACGAGGTAGATGAAGAGGTCTATATATAAAGAAGAAGAGACGAGAAATCAGGACGACAAAACCGACTTGAAAGGCGAGAATGGGAAGCTCCTTTTTTAAGACATTATCAGTTTGCCATATTCTATTTGGATTAACCAGATTTATAGTATAACATGCAGGTGCCGCCATCGTTGATTCTTCTTCTGAAATGGGGATTTCAGTTTTGTTTTATGCTGTAGTGGTTTGTTCTAATTATCATGTTTCATTTTTTGGCTAATAACAAGAAAGCAAATGAATTTGCTTTCTTGTTTTTGGAGAAAGCCAGTGAATTTTTGCTTTGAGGTTAAACGTTGAATTATCATGTATTTGTATGAATGATAATTGATGACAGAAACAAAATGAACATAGGAGAAACAAATTTCAACTATATATGTCTATTTGAGGTGGAATTTAGGTTGTTGTTAGTTACAATGACATGTCCAAGCAACTGTTTTTTTTTGTTTTTTTATTCAAATAATTTTTAAGAGTTAGATTACAACATGTTAGACATAGGATATGATTATGTTTTGGCTTGAATATGATTTATGACTATGTAACATATTGAATGTTTTTAGTAATTCTAAAAAAAAACAATCAATGTGTATGTATACAAATCTTTTATTAATAAGATTATACCATGATACTTGATATAGTATATAGGAAAATTCTATGATAAAGTTGTCATATTGATTTTTTTTTACTTTTTTTTAAAAGTCACAATTCTTGTCAATCACAAAGGTTCTTGAAATTTTAGCATGCCACTTAGGATTACGTTAGACGTCCAACTTATTATGTAACTTCATAATTATTAATATTGTAATTAAATTTTAACATATTTGCAACTAAGTTTCATTCATTATTCATTCATTATAACTATATTTTAACTTCAACTTTGAATTCTTAACAAAATCAAAATTAATTCAACTACTGGAATAACTTCATTTATTTTAGTTCATCTTATTTCCCCAACCATTCCTCAACTTCATCTTCTACGACTTCATCTTCTACAACTTCATCTTCTACAACTTCATCTTCTTTACTATCCACATTCATCTCCATCCAACGCAATCGTAAAACGACCACCAACGTACGCATGTTTCATCTTCTTCTTTTGCAATCGCGAGTTTTCTTCCCTACAACACTGTTCAACGAGCGAACCTTCAATAGGATCTCATTCAGTCGCGCTCCTCACGTAGTTCTTATTGATTCCCAATTTATTAAGGTAATTGGGTTTAATATTTAATGATTTCAAATTCTTATATGATTTCAATTATGGAATTAGGTTTTGTGATTGATGTTGTAATCTGAAATTGGATTTCAAATTTAATGATTTTGATTATCAATATGGTAGCTGTTAATTAAGTTGGAAATTTTTTATCTCAATTTGGATTTTGGTTATATGATTGATGTCATTGTCTGCACTTGAATTTCAATAAGGAATTTGATTGTCATTAAGTTAGTTAGTCAATATGTAGGTTAAGATTTCATTCAATTTGGGAAATAGGTTTTATGATTGGTGTTGGCTTATATTGTGTGTTATATATTGGCCGATTTCAGATGGATAACTATGCAGACTCTGTTAGGGTTGATTTGAACAATGTTGATTATAGTGATTCATTTGATGCTGAATGTAGTTGTGATGAAGATGTTAATTATGTTGGTTCTAGTGATCATAAAAGTTCAAATGATGAAGATGAATCTGATAATGATGAGGAGGAGGAATCGATTTGACCAGACGTGACAAATAGCGATGCAATCGTAGGAGATAGAGTAGTGAATGTAAGTTAGATTACTTTCGATGAAATCTGTGCTTTGGAATTTGGAAATGTGAGTGAAGCTTATGAGTTTTATTATAGGTATGGAAAATGTAAAGGTTTTGCCATTAGGAAAACCAATGTTAGGCAGAGAGGGCCCGTAGGTAATGAAATAGTAGTAATGAGGCAGTATGTATGCAACAAACACAGATTAAGAGACAAGAAGCGCGTAGATAGGGTAGATAGGAAAAGAGAGCACCGACGGATGACCCGTACTAGTTGCGAAGCTAGACTTCGTGTGCACTACAATAACAAAAGGGGAAATATGTAAGGTCAATTTTTAAAGAGGCTCATAACCATGAATTAACCCCCAACAAAGTTTATGCATTTAAACCCCAGTTATCGTCAAATATCTTAGGCAGATAGATCTCAAATTGATGGTCTTCAATCACATGGAATTAGAACGTGTCATATAATATGATACATGGTTACTCAAAAGGGTGGATATCATGATGTTGGTTTTACAAAGAAATATTTGTACAATTATGCTGATAAAAAAATGTGTGATGTTATTAAAGATGGTGATGTTGTCGCTCCTCTAAATTATCTCAACATGAAATCATCTGTGGATCCTATTCTATTTGTGGAATATTCTATAAATAGTGATGGAAGATTGATGTCATTTTTTTGGGCACATGACACTAGTAGATCAGACTATTTAGGTTTTGAAGATGTTGTTGCATTTGACACAACTTACCAGAAGAACAAATATAATTATCCGTTGGTTATATTTTCCGGGTGCAATCACCAGTCACAGAGTGTTATATTCGGTGCTGCATTGGTGTTAGATGAAACGACAAAGACATATAAGTGGCTCTTAAGGTGTTTCTTAGAGTGCATGGAAAAAAAAACATCCAATAGCAGTGGTAACAGATGGAGATGGGGCTATGAGGGAGGCTATAAAAATTTTCTTTCCTTATGTGATCCATCAGTTGTGTGCTTGGCATTTGAACAAGAATGCAGGTGAAAATGTAAAAAAATCACGGTTTTTGGAAGGTTTAAAAAAAATGCAATGTACTCTAATTTTATACCTGCGAAATTTGAAGAATTTTGGTGGCAGCTGGTTAAGGAGAATGATCTTGAACAAAATACTCGGGTTTCCAAAACATATGAGAACAAGACATTTTGGGCAACTGCTTATCTACGCGATAAGTTTTTTGGTTGTATAAGAACTATGTCTCAATGTGAAGCTGTTAATGCAATAATCAAGACTTATGTAAGGAAAAAATGGTGCATTTTTAAATTTATGCATAATTTTGATCAGGCATTGAGAGAGTACAGGAATAATGAACTTGTTGCTGATTTTAAATCAAAATGTTCGAATCCTGTGTTGACAACTCATCTGCATCGGATTGAGACTGATGTTGCTAAAACTTATAAAGCAAAGATTTTTAAAGAAGTAAAAGAAGAAATTATGAAGGCTGGTGGTGCATTAATTGTGAAGGAGTGATTATCAGAAGGGGAAATGGTTGTTTTTACATTGACAAAATATTGTGAGGTTGGGTTTAAAAGAGAAGTTGTATATGATGCTTCAGATAAAACATTACGGTGTTCGTGTAGATTATTTGATTCACGTGGACTACCATGTTCATGTTAGAACAAGATTTGTGTCTACATATATTCTCGATGTTTTGATGATAACAACACATATATTTGATGAGAAACAATTTTGGTTCCAATAAGTTTATTGAGTGTGCAGATAAGAAATTCTAATTGATTCAAGACTATTGTCTAAAGAATCAGAAACACGCCAAGCACATAAGAAAGACTGTTCACATCCATTTCTGAAGAAACATCAGCAGTTCTGAAGAATGTTGAATGTTCGTCAGAAAGAGGATCATGTGTGTACTTCTCAATAAGCAGTTGCTTCAGAAGTCACAAGCAATCAAGAAGAAATAGTTTATGATAAGTTGTTTCTTCAAGATAAAAAATCAAGAGTCTACAAGAAACAAGCTTCCAACACAAAGATCAGAAGTAAATATCTATTCATCATAAGAGTTGTTGCTCACATTGTTTAAGACAAAGTCAAGTTTCTAAAGACTAATATAGTTCATGAAATACGTACTCCTATTCAATATCAGAAGTATTTCATCAGAAAGAAAAGAATTCAAGATCAAAAAACAAGAAGTAGTTGTCACAAGCTTTGTGCTTCCAGCTCAATCCAAAGATCATAGTTAGAGATCAGAAAGAAGGAATTCAAATTTGAAATCAGATGTACTATTATAAGCTTCTGCTTCAGAAATTAGACATCAGATATGCAACTCAGAAAAGTTCTCATCAGAAATCAAAGATCAATTACAGAAGTGAAGAATAGAAAAGCTTTCGCTCAAAGAAGACATTGTTCATCAGATAAGTTGTTGCTTATATATCTGAAGATAATATTCAAATATCTGAAAGACTCTGACTATACAACAATGAAGCATCTTCTGGATCATTTTCATCACCACATCAAAATAAATCTAGCAAGAAGAAAAGAAGACAAATACAAGATCAAGAGACATCTTCCAAGCTTACTACTCCAAGATAGAAGTAAATAATCAGAAGATAAGGTCTTAAGAAACTTAGCCATAAAGAATATAATACAGTCAACACGTTTAAAATTCCACTACATGCTTACATAGTGCACTATGTTATCTCCCACGATGAAATACTACAGTTATTGTAGCTGGAAAGTGAAAGAGATGTCTTCGTACTACCAACGATCTTATTCTCAATGCCTGTATAAAGATACGACATCAGCATTTGAAGATTGACGAACTATCAACTATTATCAAGCTTGAATCAAATTGCTGAAATACTATGAAACATCAAGAGAAAAGAAGAATCACTATTCATATACATCCATAAATATTCTTCTAGAGAAATATCAAGAACACAAGAGTTGTTGCTCGTTGTTGTGTTAAGATATTATAGATTAAACAAAAAGATTTAATGCTCATTATTTTTGTTTTATCTTAGAGTTCTTAATACAAAGAGTTGTTGCTCCTTATTTGTATTAGAGACTTTGTCCTTCATTGTCGTGTTAATCTGCTTTTTAGAAGAAAACATTGTAAACATGGTATAGTGTAATTATGTTTAGTATTGATTATTGCCTCAAGTAACTAGGTTGTTAGTCTGAGAGTTGAGAGGGCTAAGGTGTCAATTTGGACTCTGAGACAGTTGTGGTTAGTCACTGGTGGGTAGCCCGTAAATTTGTAATTTTTTGAGATTAGTGGATTAAGTCCTTGTTGAAGGCGAAATCACCTGAGGAGGGTGGACAGGAGTAACCTTGTTAAGGGTGAACCTGGATAAACAAAATATTTATTTTTAGTCTTTCTTTGTTATATTCTTTCTAGTTAGTTTGCAAAATATTTTTAAAAACTAAACACTTATTAGAAAATCCAATTAAAAAACCCCATTTCTTGTATTTTATCACCCTTCAATTGGTATCAAGAGCTCTAGCTCTTCATTGATTTTCAAATCAAACACTTAATCATGTAGAGAGATCAAGTTGAGAAAAACGTTATATGACTGCGCCTGCAAACAACAACAAAAGAGATAACGATTTTTCCAAGCCTCCTATTTTTGATGGAGAAAGATTTGGATAATGGAAGGATAGACTAGAGGGCTTCTTTCTGGGTTATGATACAGATCTCTGGGGTCTGATTATAGAAGGTTATGAGGAACATATATTTGCGATTGGTATGCCCATTCCCAGAAGTATAATGAGTGAAGATCAGAAACGTCTAAGCGAATATCATCATAAATATAGAACCATTCTCACCGGTGCTATCTTATATAATGAATACGATAAAATCACCATTAGAGAATCAACTAAAGGGATTTTTGACTCCTTAAGAATGACACATGAAGGCAATGCTCAAGTAAAAGAAACTAAAGTGTTAGATTTAGTCCGGAAATATGAAGCCTTTAAATTGGAATAAGATGAAACTATTGAGACTATGTTTTTAAGATTTCAAACGTTAGTAGCAGGACTCGAGGTTCTTGACAAAATTTATACAACAACAGATCATGCAAAGAAGATTATCGTAATTCTTTCAAAGAAATGGAGACATATGGTAAATGCACTAAAGCTCTCCAAATATCTGAACAACATTAGTCTTAAAGAGTTAGTTAGTTATCTCATAAGTCACGAGATTAAGTTAGATGGATACAAACCTCAGAAAAAGTTTAAATTCGTTGCTCTAAGATCATGAACTATAATGGGGAGGTAGATTCTAATATGATTGAGCAGGCTCGTTTTAAGGCTTATTGTTCTTGAAATTATGGTATGACAAAAATCAGATGTCCTAAGAGGATATCGAGACATCTGATCTGGCATGATTAACACAGGAGAGGTATAAACATTAAGAACAATATTGAAAAGTAATAACAACACACAAAATTGTTTACCTAGCTCAGTGACAATAACACATACTCTAGGGGCATACCAAGTCAGGGATAAATCCACTAATAGTAGTATCAATTCATAGACCCTACAACAAACATACCTTTTTACAATCTAATCACTTGATCACTAGCCTCACTAGATTTCTATCTAAGACTCACCTAGATATGAGGCCCTCCATAATCCCTCATTAATCACAGATATTGATTAGATCAACACAATTCTGAACAAACCGAAAGACATACTTCTATGACCAAACCTAGATAAGACTCAAGGTTAAACTCGCACGCTGACAACCTTTATCATAACCAAGAACAACAACTTGGAGTTGCTTCAAAGCTTCCTCCAAGAACAATGCTCAACTTTTACTTCACAGCTTCGAGAAGAGCGTGACGACCATCTCACAACCCGAGTGGTTCACCTTGACAAAGCCCTAGACTTCTACATCTTGGACCCGTGCCAAACTAGGTTACAAACCCTCCTATTTATAATCTATTCCCAACTGGACTTGGGCTTTCTAATAATAGTAA